TGACTGAAAATTTTAATTTTTTTTGTAAAGGTGGTGTCTATTTACTTGTGACCACGCTGTGTATATCAAGCTTTAATCACCGTTTAAAATGAACGCTTTCCAACGTAAAGATATGTAACAATATTTCAAGTTATAATCACTGAGTATAAAACTTACAAGTCTTCCATTTTACAGATGTGTAACAGTTTATTATATTGTAATCACAAATATAAAACACAGAAGTCTTCCAGTGTAGATATTTAGCATCACTTCATAATGATATTGTAATCACTGAATAAAAAGCACAAAGGTTTTCCAGACCTTTGTGATTATGGACTAGTTTAAAAGTATTTTATTGAAAACACATCATAATTACTAATTATGGGAATAAAATAATGATACAAGTTAAAAATATGTATCAGGACTTTTCTGCTTGCCTTTATGAATTCTGAATAAAGCAACTGTAATTAAACAAGAAGAAGAAGTTTAAATCCTGTAGTTAGTAGTGGCCTGTAAGAGTTTCCTGGTTCTTTTCTAACAGTCAATCAGCCTGCTAACCATGTTTCTGTGTTAAGATTTGACATGGCTGTGAGTAGTGGAAATAATACATCAGTGTCACAGTTGCTAGACTGATACTGGATTTTTTTTTTTGTATACTTGCAAGACAATTTTACTTTTCAGGAAAAATCTTTAAAATGGGAAAATTATTAATTTAAAAAAGGGTACATTCTTAAGCAAAAGAAACTGGAATGGAAGGATCATAATAGATAATTTTAAACTATTCACTATTATTCTGCACTTCAAACTATTAGTAAAGCATTGAAATAAGGTCTGAAAAACACCATATAACTTACCTCTTCTGATGACTATCAACAAGCAATTCTCACCCAGTTATTAATTTAAAGAAATTAATAACAGTATAAAGAAACGTTTTAAATGAATAAAACAATACTTTGCAATTCATTTTTTTTATTTCAAATACTCATACATTATGTATCAAAATAGCTATTGGTGGCTAGAAACATTTATTATTTGATACAGAAATTTGAAAACGAATACATTTTGCAGGAAGAAAACAGGTAATTTTACAGTCATATTATAGTGTATGAATTTATAGCTTTTCTTCAAAAATTCAATGTAGATCACTCTGTAATCTTTTTCGTAGGTGACAAAACTTAAAGGTATGAAATTTTTACCAAATTCTAAGATATTAAACTTGAATCCATAAACTTAAGTTGTACAGCAGTTATAAAAACAGGACAATTTCACATATATTTACAATCATTTCATTAGAAAATGATTATAGCACATTCACACCCACAAAAAAAAATTAAAAAAAATTGCAAGACTGTATTATGTTCAGTTTTGTAAACCCAATTCCTAATTATTGATCATATGTCCCACAACTTGATGTCACTCATCTTATGAGGTAAATTACTTGTTCACAGACACATCAGTAAAATCGTTTTCTAGAAGTCTCCTGCTGCTTCTGGAATACTACCACACCAACCACAACACATATAAATACACCAAATATGGCACACAGCATAATGAGTAATAACTTGGTACCAGACATGGGTGGAGGGGGATCATCTATGTGATCTGAAATGATTTTAAATTTTGTATTTAATTGGAATTGTTATAAAAAAAAATACTATATTGTTAATTAAACAAAAGGGTTATTGGTCTAAAGGATCTAGAAATGGATATCAAAGGCAACAAAAAGTACTAATAATCTAACAAAATTTACTATAATTTGTGTCAAAACTTTTATATATTTCTTTTGTGTTACTTATTTTACATATTTGTAATTATCTTTTTTTCCCATACTCACCTTTTTATTGATAAGGTCTTCTATAGTATCTTTT